ACTGCTCACGGAACACTACGGTGACCAATAGTGAAAAATCTACATCGTCGTGAGTGACATAATTCCTCACGACTAATACCAAAACAGGGTGTTATTAATTCAATAACGACACCATTGCGCCTACGAGTATAAGGTCCTAATTACCGAGAAGCCCTAAGCGGCCCTTGAGATAATGCCTGGGTCATGAGGGATAACCCTCGACACCCGCATCTGCATACCCCTCAAAAGGCAATGTAGAAAACCCCGACGACAACCACTCATTCGTGCAATCGTCGCCGTTGCACGAATGGACATGAACGCTGTTATAGTTATGTATGCGGCATTCAACGCGAAGCGGACAGGTAAGTTGATGTTTCCGATTTTAGTAATATTTATCCTCAATCCAGATACAAAATATTTTTATAGTATAAAATGTAGTTTACGATTTAGAGAGCTATAAAAATGTGACTAACCGGAAGGTATGCGCTACTTCAAATCCCAGTATCCGGATAAATGTATATAAATGAACTAGTCAAGTTTGTGCTTAATTTTAATTAAGCTTTCTACTTGCATTTTTGGATATTAAAAAAATATATTTTTCTAACTTTGTGTAATTCAGGTTTAAAAAGTTTAAACATGATTTTTTTCGATGTATAAAAATATACGCTCTCGTAAATAACTTTATGAATGTACGACTTATTGTATGTTATATATCCTACTTACATCGCAATCGCTATAAAATTTATGAAGGGCAATACGGTAAACAACGAAATGCGCCACCAACCATTAACTCAGTAACTGTTGATCGTAATACCATTAAGCTCATACTTTAATTTGCGTCACGAAATGCCGATAAGGAAACTCAATAAACGCTCCATAAAGCAAGACTTAATGGCACTAATGTAAAATAAAAGTTAATTGTAATTATGTTCATTCATTAAATTAAGCCAGTTATATTGTCTTTCACATTGCTCATTAAATTAAAATATGTTTTCAGACAGTGTGTCGAAAACATCACATTCGAAACATTTTGCTTCTATTTTAATATTCCCTCGTACGTTAGATTTAAAATACTGCTTAGCTGAAAAATTTAATTATTCTGGATTTGTCTAGTTGATGAGTTTCGTACGATAGTTGAGTTCGAATACTTAAGTCTTAATACTTTCCATTTCATTCTTTTACACCATAATATTAGTTTATATACTATGTAATCACCATTCATAGAACTCTGAAAGTTCGGTTCATTTGTCAAACAGTCTCCGATTCCGATGTCTGCTAACATTGTATATTTAACCTCCTGAGGACAAGACTTAACATTTTTGATATTCATGTGTAATATCAAAATATTTAAGCTCTAATATGACCTAGAGTCCTCAGTTTTCTGATAAAATAAAGAAAAAAACTTTTATTATAAATTACGATTGTCAACGTGTAAAATATGGAACGCTCAGTCTATACCTATATATAATTTTAATGTTGTATACAGCGTATCTTTACAAAAGCGACAATAAATGAACACACATAAAGGATAACTTTTAAAATTTTATTCAAAATTTTCATTAAACATCAATATTTATCGAGTTATTAAATTTTCCAAAACAACAAATTTTAGAACACCCTTACGTATAAAACTGTAATGTAAAGTTCATTTGTAAAGGTTACGAAGCTTAGGAATGGGTTGAATGAGTTTGAAAGAGACAAAACATACTGTTAAAAGGAGAGGCTTGTAATGCGACACTGTGGCAACGAATGAAAAAGTCTCTGAATGAATGAATCAGTCAGTTGTAGTTGTATTGGATGTTACAAATTTTGTTTCTTTTTTACTTAATTAGTTTGTTTGAAAAACATATTTTTTTTAATAATGTATTTTTTTAACGTTAATATTTTTTTATGATTATTGGCAAGTATCGTTAGACGTGTGTTCATTTATTGTCGCCGTTGTAACGACACGTTGTATATGAAACATTCGTGCTTTATTAGTAGTATATATACTTGATACAAGGAATGAAGTAATAAAAAGGGCATCATTTTAGGAAAATATTCAAATCAAGAAAAAATACATCAATGTCTCTTAACATAGGCGATATAGTAGTTTCTACACTTAGAAACGTTAGATTAGAACAGTCATTAATTCTCACATACAGTATCTAATTAACGATTCTGAGATCAATCTACATTTTGATTCATGCATTTAATGTTCATGATATGAAACTATTTCTCAATTTTATTGAACGGGGATATATTTTACAGGTACGACATAATTTACATCAGTCTTAAAACTTTATGCAAATAATAATTTTCACATAAAATATTTCTTTATGTGAGAAATTGGCAAAAGATTTGGCGGTGTACCTGATACCGGCGGTAATCACTTGATTACCGCCGCACATGGACATTTGCAACACCCGTAGGGTTACAAATGCGTCGCCACCTTTAAATAAAGTCTGCCCGGCCTACCTCACGCCATCACTCATTTTACGCCGGTCTTCTGTGAGGTTGTGGTACTTACCCGGACGGACCTGCCCATTCGTGCAACAGTGAACACTGCTGCGTGGCCCTAACACAATTATTTAGTTTTGATTGTTCAGTTAAAAATACTTCAATATTATTCATAATTCATTACAAGACGTACCGCTCTCCTCTCCTATTTATATTTTTTTCTTAGCAACGTAATAATACGATTTACAAATGTGATATAGTCGAGCGGCTATATTACATACGCTTTGTGAGCGCGGTGTTTGTATATTTACTCAAGTGTATGTAGGGACTTTTGTTACAAACAGCTGTTCTTAATTATTATTTGTTGAAATATTTAACCGGTATTCGATATCCTTAACTGGTTCATTTATAATGTTCCCAGCCACGGGGAAGCAAAAAAAATTCGCGCATGATCAGCTTCTGATCACGCCGACCATCATTTAAAGTTTGAAGTCGTTCAAGTCGTTCTTCCATTTACGTAAGACGTTAATTGAAAAACAATTTATACTTAGTACACTATAATCTCTTCTAGGGTATCAGTTCTCAAGTCTAAATTTATACAAAGTAGCGCCAAGCGTTGATCATTGCTCTTGCCCTCAACCCTCCTACGTGGGGTCGGTTCAGCATATGAATTGTGTTGTTAATGGTATTGGATAGGTTTTTTACCCCTCCCTGGGAAAAATACGCCCAGATCCGGAAACATTTTCTATGGGTCATACAAGTATATACATGATAAAAAAGCAAAATAAAAAGTAGACAGTTTTGGAGATTTTCGCGTTAATAACGTAAATACACTGAGTTACGCGGCCGATCACATCTCAGTGACATTTAGAAAGTCTAGGCGGGTTATCTAGAAGACTCAGGAACAAACTAATTTTTTTGAAAATTTGTCTAATAAACTTAAAAATTGTTAAGATTATTGTTAAGATGTAATCTTACATATATTGTGTACACATGTTAAAGTAGGTATATTTTTAATATTGATAATTAAATTAAAAAAACAGATAAATTTGAGCTATAACAAAAAGAATAACTAAAGAATTAAAATAGAAGACGCAAAGTGTAAAGTGAAACAACAATACATACAATATAAGTCATGTATGCTATATTATGACTTTTACTTATGATAAAATACATATTGAGATCAATAAATAAAAAGTAAGTTTTCCATAATCTATGTATTGAACTAATACAACATTAAAATAAATAGGTATCTTAAAATAACAATAGATTCCTATAAAACATTGAAAGTTTAAAGGCATTTCGATAATTAGTTTTTACCAAACTAATTATCTGATTCTATTCAATAACACTAAAAACCACTGTTGCGTTTATAATAGTTACGTTCCATAAAAGACAATCTTATGAAAACTAAAAAAAATAATAATTACATAATCATATATTTAAATAAAAAAAAGATAAACGCAATAAGGTTTCGAGAGACCTGAACAAATTAATTCGTGAGTTTGTTACAGTTTGAAAAAGATATATTAAGAAAAGATACATGTTTAGAAGCAATTCAAAAACTAGACATATGATCACACAACAGAACTTTTCACTGACTATTGGCTGATTGTACATCATATTTAACAATACTTAAAAAGTATTGAATGCTCACTTAGTACAGAGTCTATATTTTAGAAATAAATCTAAAAAGGTACATATAATTTAGAAAAATCTGTAGTAGCAATTAGTTTTTAAGCACGCAATTTGGCAGTAAATTTAAATCTTTATTTAGAAAGGTATTCTATAAAAATTTATGTAGATTTCAAAACCTATTCAGTACAGTTGAATTTACGAATAAAGACACATGACTTATTTTAATTTCTTTATTTTCATACAACTATGGTTTTTATTAAATACATCATCCGCAAATATTTTTATTGAATCTGAAGTGCGCGCATAATACTGATATTGAAGAAAATCAACATAATTAAGGAAATTGATTACAATCTTTGTTACTCTTTGTTGTACTGTTAGTGAATTGGGTAGCATATTTAGCCTTAACAATCTAATTATATTTTCGAAAAGATAATGAGATTAAATTAAAATTTCATTTTAAACATAAACAACATTGCTTTCAATTGTTTATAACATAGATTTTAATATATGTAATAATTTAATTATTGTTTATGTCATAATTTTAATAATATAAATACCCATTAATAAGTACATTCAGCTGCCCATATGGTGGAGAAACGTTTCGAAAACTATGAGCACGGAGTAGAACGTTTTTCAAGAACCACACATACAAGGTATGCTTCCTACACCAAATTCATATTTGAGTAAAGCAAATAGAATTGGATATTTAATTGAATATGTAGCCCGACTCGATTCAAATAAACACTACATCGTTTCTAAAAAGAACAGATTGTGAATTACAGATTGGGAATGATTACTATAGATTTATGACGCAAAGATTACATTGAACATGTCCCCATTCCCTCCAAAAACTGCCTAATTCAGCTCAATGTCAGTAAGATCCATTGCATCCGGTTTGGTTAACACAAACGTTGATATTTAATACATGTTGTAATAGTTCAATATATAATTTTACTGGGTGGAGCGGGTGTGTTTGAGCTCATCGCCTGCTCTAATGTGTCTAGACGCCGGTACGCGTGGCCGCGGCTGTTACGACGCCGTCCCGGTTGCCGTCCTTCGACTATCAGACCAAGGATCTGCAATGCAAATAAACTTACATTATAGCATATATAATAGCCAATTATCATGAACCCTCCTGACTAAAATTCACATTGTCTTTGCTGTTGCATGAATGGGCATGTCTGCCCGGGATCTCACAGAAGAGAAAGTTTTATAATACTTCTGCGCTTTGTTCGTTCGTTCGTTTCTGGTGAGTGAGGTAGCTAAGATTAAATAAACATTAAAACTTGTAGAAAAAGTACGGAAAGATTGTCGCCGCTGTGGGAATCGAACCCACGTCTTTAGCATTCGCGGCCTGACGCTTTAGCCAAGAAGTTATTTAATCATAAGTGTAGAGATTAGCACTATAATAAAATTTTAATTTCTAAAAAGCAATGGCGATATCTTTCGTTCGAAGTTATCGTTGTAAAAACGATATTCGAAATTGTTTGTATGCTGGAAAGCATATAACAATAGATGCGCCAAGCATTGCCTCAAATGCTAAATAACAATGTAGATAAAACACGTTTGGGGGAAACACCATTCGGGCTTTCCAGCCCGGATAGTGTGTACGAGCCTATCTGGCACTTTGAGAGTGTATATGTTGTAAAGCAAGCCGTTGTGCCAGATCTTGTCGAATGCACATCGAAGAAAAGAGCCCCCGTGATAATACGTTGAGGGTGATTTAGGCCTCTTAGGATATGTTCCGTTAGGCGGTATAATTGATCGGGACAGAAATGTATAAGCTCGAAAGCCGAATTGTTCCGCCGGCAGAAGGCCGTCAGAAAAGACGTGCTCTTTGAGCATGTTTAATAGAAGCCGCTCGTAGAGCCTCCCGAAACAACTGAGGAGGCTGATGGGACGATAACTAGAGGGCTGATTGGCTGATTTATTCGGCTTGCGAATGCCGATAACCTTGGCTTCTTTCGAGTCGTCCGTAAAGGAGCAACTGGAGAGTAAAGTGTTGCAAATGGTCGCCAGTAAACAAATAAGCGGCCCAGGGAGAGCGTAAAGAATTTTGTTACTAATATTGTCTGGGCCCGGGGCGGATTTGGGTTTTAAATTTTTGATAATGTCTTGGACCTCTTCGGGGGTCACTGAATTCAAAGGATCGCCTTCCGGTGGAAGCACAGCCCTAATCTTGATTATGCGGTCCACCTCCGTTAGGTGGGCTGTATAGGTGTGTTCGCGCGATGGCGTACATTGCTGCTCTAGGTTGTCCGCAAGGCATTCGGATTTTTCGGAGTCATCTAGGGCTACTGAAGCGCTATTAGATATAACTAACGGCAGTTAAGATTCGTGGGGGCCTGCTTTCAAACTACGGGCCAACCGCCAGTAGGCGGTGTGCGATGGCTCGATATCCTGTAGGAGAGCGTCCCACGTGGTATGTCGGTGTTCCGATACGCGATCTTTGACTTAATTTCAACTTACTATGTCCACCCGTTCCTGACAAAATCATGGTTACACACGGACAGAGGGAAAGACAGACAATAGAGTGATCTTATTAGGGTTCCTTTTTTTACATTTTGAAGTAAGGAACCCTAAAAACTTAAATACACAGGTACTACATTACTACAAGACAAGTGCAACCTTTGAACTCTGAGGATAGAGATGGATGAAATGCCAATTCACCCACTTCTATATAAGACAGTAGTTTTTACAGACACAATATCTGGAAAGCACAAAACTAATTGCAGAAAGAATTTGCAAAAAGAATTTGTACCCGCAACTGTGTAAATTGCAAAATAAATATTCATATGCATATAGGTAATAAAATTTTGCCTTTTAATTAATTCACTTACCACTTTTGTGAATTTGCCTTTGTTGTGATATAATATATATAGAAGAACAACAATTATTATTGCAGTCAGGAAGAAAGAAAAGAAATGATCATCGTCTTCCGGAAAATCCTCTTGAGGCGTTTTAGAAATAAAATCTGGAATAAGGAAACAAAATTATGAGCTTGTCTTGCTTAAATGCTTAAGTATTTTTGAACTATCAACATTTTAAAACTAGTCCACTCCATACACAACTGTTTAGACTCTTCTGTTCTTACTATTATCTTACTACATTATAATATGAATTGGGCCCACTTTATTGTAAGGTGGCAAAGCATTTGCAACCATAGGGGTGTTGTAAATGTCAATGGGTGGCGATTATCACTTATTATCAGGTGCCAGCTAGCTTGTCACCTTTTGACATAAAAAAACATAATATTTTAACACTATGGTTATACATATACAAGGTCCCAGTATACAAAGAAAAATAAATTAACAAAAGGCCAAGGCCAAAACAAGATTTGTAATTTTGAACAATAAAATATAAAACACTTTTATCCTTGAAATACAACTGAATAAATAAGATGTAAATTTTATTCTTACATTAAAATAAGTACAAAGACAGTATTTTTTTCAATTAAGTCCAATATTACAATTTTACATATTTTAATTGCCTCACTGGCACAGTTGCTAAGCTATTTAACAGATGGGGGTTGTAGGTCGGTTCAATTCTCTATGTCACTTATAATCATATCAGAAATACATAAAGGTACAAGGTTTAGTAAAGAATAAGTTAAAGAATAATTCAATGTGATCTTAAATTTGAGAAAAAATACTCATAATAGATGATATATTTTGTTCATATACATTTATTTCCAACACCTAATCAATCTGTCTTATTTATGAGTTAATACTTTTTGACCTATTTAAGTCTTCTTCTCCAGCTACCATGCAAAACATATTTTAAGACAGTGTATTAAAATAAGCCACTACTACATTTCATCAAAATTTTAGCATCATGTTTGCTTTGCTATATCCATAAGATCATAATGATATACAAGAGGTGTGGATATTAATATTACAGAAATTTAATTACTTTTATTTTTTAAACCACATGCTTATTATCAACTGTCCAATCATGCATTCATAATTATCAAATTATCTAATAAATGAATATACACATTAGATTTTAATTAGATTTTATTATTACAATTAACCAAAACTTAATTATATATGAACTAAAAATAATTAAACTACCTATCTATATTTTTCTGCTTATTTAGAAATTATACAAATAAGGGAAAAGTACGTCCTACCTTCTTGTGACTTTTGAGCTGTATAAGTGGTTCTTAACGGAATGTTACTCTCCAAATTTTCCTTGATTTTGTCCTCCATTTTCTGAATGTCCCCTTTACTAATACTAATCTCAGAATCATCTTGAAGATCTTGTTTATCTTCTTCTTCTGAATCTGTAAAAGATACATTTTTATTATATTAGCTACAGTAATATTATTAACATAATTAAATATTTCAGTAGATGAAACATTTATAAAACAAATTTACCATATTGCTAAATTTGACTAACCAAGTGAAAATAAAAAAATTGAGAGAATTTATAAATAAATTAACATATAAGTTTCAACAAAAATAATTCCAACTCTTTGAAATTCAAGTTTACAAAGTTTGAAACATTATTTTCCACAAAAAAAAAATCTTTTTAATGTTAAAAAAAAGCTATTTGAAAAGGGCAAATGTAAATAACTTTAACTCTTCCGTAATTCAATTAAAATAAATTTTAAACAATAGAGAAAAATCTCTAATAAATTAATCAACAAGCAGAATTCGGCGGTCGCTTATAGTTTTCGAGAAAAAAATATTTAAAACTTGTTATTTTTACTAAGAAATCCACCATTTTATTTATTTCACTTCAAAAACTCAATACACAGTTCTGCCAACATGATAAATATAGGAAGCTTGCGACATCATACTCGTATCGATAGTCCGATTTTTTTTAATGCATTAAAATTATTTTTTGCGTGATCATTCATAACTTACACGCACGCAAGTTCGTTTCAAAATTATACAACGCATTTATGAATGAGTACCGTATTGTCAACCGGTTTTGTTTTTTAGGGAATGGAATGGCAAGTTTGGTTTTATTTCAATAAACGATTATACTACCGAGTTTGAACCTCCTGTGTGAAATTTGGGCACCTTTAGAAAAGCCACCCTGTATTTTGTACTGTAAAAATATTGGTATGTATCTGGATTGAGGACATATATAGGTACAACATAAACAAATACTAAAATAGGAAACATCTCAAAAAACATTTTTAACCTGTTTACTTCATGTAGAATACCCCAAAGAATTACCTGGATCATCTCCAATATCCTCAACTGCTGAATCTTTGACCTCCTTATTCTGACTGTTTAAGATCTCGTCCTCCTTCTCTACATCAATTTTTTTTGGTGGTTGTTCTTCTTCGTCCGGCATTGTCTTCTCAATTTCAGCCTTTACAGAAACATCTGGTTTCTGCGCAACAGCTGATTGCCCAACATTGTTAGAAATTTCAATTGGATTCAGTTCACTGATTTTCTCAATAGTTTGTTTCTTTGTGCCTTGATTATTTTCTGTACCTGATACAGCACTCTTTATGGATGATGTTTGAACATCTTTGTCAAGCTGCCCTTCAGGTCTTTCTACATTTGTCAATGTTGTTTCAATTATAGAAGTATTTGGATCCTTTGGTAAATTGTTATCTACCTTTACAATATTGGCAGGTAATGAAATAGCAGTAAGATTATTAGACACGGTTCCTACAAGTTTTGTATCAGTACTGGATGGCTGCTCAGGCATTGCTGCTACTATTTTATCAATTGTTGACTTGTCTATTTCAGTTGATTTCAGTATTTCGGAGCCCCATTTGTAGTATTTACAAAATGTGTTACTATCTTCACTCGTTAAATCGGATACATCACACACTTTTTGGCACTTCACTTGATTTTTAAAAACTGTTTCTGCAGTAACCTTATATTGGGGAATATCGGGCAAGTTAATAAATTTCCAATTTTGTGCACTTTCACACATGGAATCGACTTTTACTACTTCTCGTAATTTATTTATTGAATCATTTTGCAGTACTAACTTTGATTTGCTAACTGCGTCACATAGTTGGGTACTCATATCGTAAAAAATCAAACATTGCATTTGTTTTCCATTAAATTCACTTATATTGCATTCTGGGATGTTGCTCTCAATTTGGGATACAAGAAATGAGTTTTCACAATGCTCAGCTAGAGCTTTAAGCGATTGTGCTAAGGGGCGTAAAATTAAATGTGTGGCTATGGGGTTCCCTAAACTATGATAGCCTGTATTAATCAATACAAATATAATAAACAACATAATGACGCTTTATCACTGTTCAGTTGAAGGTTATTAGTCAAAACGATTTTTACGCAATGCAAGAATTTTGTTATATAGACAGAGCACGCTTTTGACTTTTGACGCTAGCTAACAAACAGACAGCAGTATCTTATTGACATTAAATATGACTTTGACAGTTTGACTTAACCGACAGTACATAAACACATATATTGATTTTAAAACTCAAAGTAAAAAAAAACTTTGTACATAGTTTGTAATAACACATTAGTTATTAATCAATAATGTAAATGTACGTAAAATTCTCAGTCTTTGAGTCCTGAAAAAAATAAATTAAAAAACAAAATACTTAAAAAAAAAATTTAAGTAAAATTTAAAAAATAAAATTTTCATCCCCCTTACTCGTCAACCCTAATTCGGGGATTGACAACGCCAGTATTTTAAATTGGTAAAAATATTTTGTATGGACAACGGAACTATCTAGTGTCCAGGGCGTGTAAACTTACTCGCATAGAGCCACAAATCCTAAATAGATGTCGCTACTTTGTCTTAGTGTCATGTTCCGCCATTTTTAATAATATATTGTTATAATATATTGTTATACAATATTGCTATATTGATAAACTGTCTATATGCTGTCAAAATGCCAGAATCATAGAAAAAAAATACTGTCAAAAATACTATTTACCGCTGGCTGTATTCATTTTGTATTTACTGAACTAAGAAATCCATGAAAAGAAATATATAGTATAGTTGACGACATACAAAGTGATCTTATTGAAATTATTAGGCAATTTAAAAATATCGATCTCGATTAAAATAATTCCAAATGTGAACTTTTCTTTTCCGAAAAGATTTCCTTTTCTGACAAAACTATTTTGACTCAAAATTTTAGCTCTATCATAACAGGAATTAACGTAGTCCGTTCACGGCCGTAGCTAGGGGGGGGCATTGTAGGGCAATGCCCTACCTTAAAATCACAATGCCCTACCTTAAAAATACCAAAATTAAAATGCGTAAATATGACCACGTTTTTCAATTTCGTACACGTCACAAGTGGTTTCCCATCCTACTTCGCCGGAATTTGTATATTCTTTCTATGTTGTACCTACTGTGTTCTATTTCATGTTTCTACTCCACTTTATTTAAAGGAGAAATTTGAATTTGTAGGGCTTCTAGGGGAAGATCCTACCTTCCTCGAGGAAGCTCATTTTAGAGATGCCAAACCACAAAACGTAATTTTTTGAAAAATCTTTTACCGTACAGGCTGTTAAACTCTACTGCAATATATACTATACTATTGCACAACCTACGTAGTAAAGTTCCTTTACGCCATTGGTTGCCTGGAAGAGATCGCTATGAAGTGATACGGCCGCCAAATTGTGAATGCCATTAATTTGTTTGTCTATTGTTAATTTTGTGTATCCTCTTTTGTGTGGTGGACAATAAAGTATTCATTCAAAAACTAAGATACATTATTGTAATAAAAATTGTAGCGATAGGTATTTCAACTTTTCCGAACATACCACATTTTGTCAAAATCAAAATAATTTATTTATGGACTTAGGAAACATACATTTCATCTATCGATAGTATTTTTTTTTAATCTACCACCGTTTCATCATGAGGTTACTCTAACGGAGAAGAAACAGGCAAAAGAAACTCCGCAGGTATCCGTATTCGTAATTTTTTTCTTAAAAAATTAAAATATTATACAACTGTTTTTTTCTTTCTTTTAGAAATAGCTTGGGTGCGATCAACTCATTACCAGTGTGTGACATTCATTTCATATTCTAATAATTTTTTGTTCTGTGTACTCGTATAAAAAAGTACCTGGAAGACCGAGCTTTGCTCGTTTTATTTTTTGGTAAATAATGTATTTTGGAAATAAAAAAAATAAAGAAAGCAATGATCAGGTATAGAAAAAACAGTAAAAAAAAAAAGTGTTGCTGGTTTAAAGGATAAAATAATAATAAAATAGGCATTTGAATGATGATGATCTAATCAATTCGATTGCAAGTCTCGATGAGTTGGATGTAGATAAAATGGTTCCACTGAAAAGTTTGGGTAAGTTTAAAAAAATTAATAATTCAAATAGGCTAGTGTGGTTAAAGTTTACTTGAGTCGTAACGAGAACAAAATGAAAAATACATTGCAAGTGTTGTACAGGCAACGAGAGGCGTTTAAAGATACATATGAACTTTTTGCATCTGTGGCGACCATGGATGTAGCACTGCAGTGTGCGAATCTACGTTTTCAACTTTAACTGCAATCAAAATGCCTCAAAGGCTGTCAATGGGTCACGAGAGAATGGCTGGTATTGTATTACTGGCCTTTGGAAAAAAAAGGACAAAATCAGTTGATCTGAACGAAGTTCTTCGCATTTTTAATAAATAACATGGCGAATCGAAGAATTCAGCTGTTTTAAATATTTTTGTTATTATGTTAATTATTATAATAGGTCTGCAGAAACAATTTGATATAAGTGGTATTTTTGGTCGTATCATCTCATCCAAAAATTAATTATTACCTCACTCTCACTCAGACGTGGATTTCTACATCTAAAGCTGGAAGTTCAACCATCTTGTTCGCTTATTCTTCATTATTAAAGATTTAATAATGCTTATATCCATGCTCATGTTCTGTCACAGAAATTATTTGTCTACGAATACCTATTGAACTGACCTAGAGGTCAGTGATATACATGATGATTGATTTAGAAGCTCATGCTAGTTGGGGCAAATATCCCTTTATGGCCAACCGCTCTCCTGGGAGAAAAAGGTCAAATACTTAGGAGTCACTTTCAACTCGCGTATGTCATTTAAAACGCACATTAATAACGTTCGCAATAGAGCCGCGTTCTTCTCCGGCCGGCTACACAATTTAACTAACGCTAAAAGTAAAATGCCCTTAAGACACAAATTATTATTACATAAGACCTGCGTACGATCTATTATGTCCTACGCATGCATGACCTCCGCCCACACGCACCCTACTCGCTTGTACAAGTTGCAAATAGTACAAAATAAGTTCATAACCCGCGCAACCGGTGCGCAGTGTTATCAACGTCGACCTGCACAGCGATTGCAGACTCCCGACAATTCGCGAATATTTTAAAGACCTGACCAAACGGTTCTTCGATAGAGCCGAACATCATCCCAACCCTCTGGTGGTAAGCGCAGCAAATTACCAACCCGACACAAGCAACAAGCGTCAACAAGCGTCGCCCGCGAAACGTCCTCATCGACCCGAGCGACGAAGAGGACTCAGAAACGATGGACCCACCGCCGGGGACCGCCGGGCCCACCCGCCGGATAACACTACACCCACAGTTAGTGCAACAACAAACACACTAGTTCGCCCTCGCCTCCGAGCACGGCGAGACCAACACAACGCGTACACAAGCTACACCCACGTTCCGGGGCGGTTCTCACCGCTCCCAGCCACCGATTAGCTAATTGCACAGTCGACGGCCATCGGGGTTTCGGTCCGAACCGCGACCTCGATGGCCCTTAGATGGCACACCATACTTAAACGCACGCATGAGCACATGCATGGCCCTACCCACAGCGGAGGGCCCAAACCCGTGGGTTCTGGCTAGCCCACCGGTTCTGCGTCAAATGAAGCTTTAATAGTCTTGGGACTGAAAGTAAAAACATCAGTTAATACAAGATACAAGAAGGAGCTCATGCTTCGAGGGCAAATCAATTATGATAATTTTAATTTAATTGTTTACTTCCGCCCTACCTGTAATCAATGCTGCCCTACCTCAAATTCAACTCTAGCTGCAGCCCTGAGTCCGTTCAGAGTCACTTTACCTCTTAGGTGCTCCTTCGTTGATATAAAGTTTGGTGCCTCATTTAAAATTAAAATTAAATCAATTTTAGATTATGTTAATAAATTGCTTTTACTAAATTCGCATATTGCGCTTACTATTTTGCGACATTGTATTCTTGTACCTAAATTTACGTACCTGCTTCGCTCGAGTACAGTTTAAAAATGCGGTGACTTTTTGAATGAAATTGATTTTCGTCTTAAATCAGCTCTAGAAAAAATTCTAAATTTATCTCTTAATGAATTATGGACTCAAGCTACGCTGCCAATTCGTTTTGGTGGTATCGGTGTAAGGAAAATTTCTAGTGTCGCTCTACCTGCCTTCCTTTCTTTCGTGCATAGCGTAAATAATTTATGTAATAATATCCTTAATCACAATTCAGAACTTTCCTATGCCGAGGAGGCAAGGATGTCTTGGCTGTCTATCTGCTCCAACGAAAATATCCCACTGGAAGTAAACCTATAAAAACAGTGAGATGTTCCTTTAGTGCGGAGAGTACAGAAAGATACGTTTCAAATTTTACAAAGTAATTTAAAGCGTGCCCGTTTCCTAGGCGTCTCATCTAAAAAATCGAGTTATTGGCTTCACGCTTTACCATCAAGTAATTTGGGCACATTACTTGACGTTGAAAGCTTACGCA